AAGTATTTTCTATTTGTTTATTATTGTCCATTAATAATCYTCTAATAATTATCACATAATGTACCTGATTTGCAGTGGCAGAAAAGTTGGCCCTGGGTGGTGGTTCTGTAGCAGTACCTCTATCCTAGTACAACATGTGGTAGTCATAATAAACAACACAATCAATCATGACTTGCACAATACCTCCCTAATGTCAAGGTGCTTTTTACATTTCTCTTGCTCATTTTGACACATCCACTCACTTTGAGGGTATCAATACTCCATTGTACAGTTCAGTTCAGTCACCATGAATTATAGTTCCATGTATCACATTAAGTAGATCAGTAGTAGATCTTACTCTATATGGGTTACTATATGTCTGGTATGCTCTATATATGACAAAGTAGATCAGATCATATACTGATCTTTTGATAGATAGTTAATATTCTTACTCTATAAGGGTTATTGTACGTCTGGGATGCTCTATATATGACAAAGTAGATCAGATCATATGCTGATCTTTTGATAGATAGTTAATATTCTTACTCTATAAGGGTTATTGTATGTCTGGGATGCTCTTTCGCTGTAGTTAAACTGGTTGGTCAGTTTTTGTTCTTTTTTAGGTGGTCCTGAAGAGTCTGGTCTGGCCTTCTCTTCATCTGTCTTCTCCTGCAATCAAAAGTGACTCCTGATTCCTGACTGTTATATAATCTTTATTTAATGTCCTGGGAAGCACGGGTGGCATCTAAGCATTGAGAGCACGACGCCTCTCATCAATATAACCCAGGAACATGTCCCACTGGGCTCTGTGTTGTATGTGAGTAGAGTTTCTAGTTAACATCTCTTCTGTGATTCAGGGTTTTTCTCCAGGTTCTCCAGTTTTCCTCCCTCCACTAAAATCAACTCCTAAATTCTAATTTGATCATTGAATGAGAACCACAGGTTTGTTAGCTCCTCATCCCTCCACAAAGTGTATGACATGTTAAAACATATGACATGTTGTCACTCCACAATAAGCCTGCTTAGCAGAACTTTGGGGGTGGTTTTTCACTACCTTTGTTAAGTTTTTTCCATTGWTGAGCTTTGCCGATAGATAATAGCCACGTGGAACTAAAAAAGTTTTTATGCAACCATGACGAACAATAACACGAAAGATAATGTAACGTATCCAACGTAACCAAAAACGACTTGCTACGCAGGCTACTCCACACTCACTACTCACTTAACACATGTTATTTGTTTTCCAAATCAGGAATTTCTGGTTTTTTTTCTGGGTTAATGTAAGCACTCCAGGCCAGTACAGCAGCTTAGTGTTTCATAAAGTATTTCATATTCACCTTTTCTTCTTCTGGTTTGTTTTCTTTATCTGCCTCTTCATCACCAACCTCACCTCCTTCAGCTATAAAAAATAGAAAAACAATAAAATGAATAACTATAAACAAAGTTATATATAAATATTAGCAAACAGGCCAATAAACAATATGTATGTCAAGTCAGAGAGAAAGAAAACAAACTAAGAGAGCAAGGTAAATGAAATATTAAATTGTTAATTTTTTTATAGAATACGTCATGTAAACCTTGATGGCTCATTTTGAAAGAAAATCACCTCAGGCAGGTGGGTGTCACAGACAGTGAAAAGGTTAAACATCCCTTATTTTGCTATTGATGACGAATGTGCATCAACTATTTAACAAATAAGACAAAAAAAGAAAGAAGTCAACAGGATCTAGCAGCTTTTCACATGTGCAGATGGCTTACAGCACTGTGATCTGTTCACTAATATAGCATAGTTTTGGACCTATCAGCGTGCACATACTATCCTAACTATATAATAATTTGAATTCAATACTTGAAGTCCTTTATAACCCTCATTGATGACAAATATCATTGATCACTTACTATCAGCCTGTCTTTGTCGCATTCTCTGTCTCCTAGCTTCATCTGAATCCTTATGCAGCATATTTCTGTATAATTAACAATATAATATTCACMTCAACACTTAAGAAACATGAAAAACATATGAATGTGAGTTATAGTCTCTCTTTTACCTCTTTTACTCCGATGAAGGACTACTGTAGTTTCCAAAATGTCAGTAAGTTTTTTCATCTTTTCACAGWGTATRATTTACCCTTTCGTTATTATTGAGTTATAGTCTGTGATATTACTGGAATTTTCATAAACATGCCGCTGACAGTGATTCACACCTGTATACCGTAAATGTGATACTGTAATACTGTAAATATAATACATACCCATCAAGAGCAAAGTGTATTGCCAGCTGATCAACACTGGATGTCTGTTTATAACATCTTTCCTGTTAATAAAATAATTTGTATTTAAAAATATGAACATTTCTCCAGAGTTCCTCAGTTTTCTCCATAAAAATAAACTTGTAAGTTGAGCATCAGGGCTCGAGATAGCGGCCTGCCAATGTCAAATGACAGGACAAATTTCAGGTTTGGCAGGCGAAAATAAGGATGCACTGCCAAATGAATAATAAAATGGCACTCAAAATTTACTGGAATGACCTCCTTTTATCATGCTCCTTTACTATGGCAGGCTAAAAAAGTTTTCTATTTCAAGCCCTGAGCGTTGTGAGCATAGAAGAGTGATTATGTAGTGGTAGTGTGGGTGAAAAAAGTGTGTGGGCGARTACAAGTGACTCCAGTTAGTGCAAAAACTCTTGCTAGAATGACTAGAATAAGGTTTATAAAGTATACACCCAGAAAGATGTGTGTATGATTTGTGCAGAGCACACATGCTAGCATCTTTCTCTATTCACAATCAAACTGTGTTTACATACATAACCTCACTAAAGTTTTCTGTTCAAATTGTGTAGTTTCATCCAGAAATCATCCATCAAGCAGATGCCCCCCTCCCCCATGTAATTCTTTCTCTGAACCCCCATCCACCAAAAAATTCACAATTCCTCTTTGGGAAAGGGGGAGGGGGGGGAAGGATAATTATATGAACTACAGCGGTTACCATACTACTTGTAGATTAGCTGGTSAGCAGCATCTCCGAGAGAACATCTGAAAAAAGCTGGTTTTATGGTTCGTGTTGATAGTTTTAATAAGTTAGTAAGAGTTAAAGAAGTATTCTACTAACGATTAAGAAGTATTTACAATTTACAAACTTACTTTGAAGTTGTATCGGACTATATTGCTGGGAGCATGTGGATTATTAGCTGTCAAAATTCTGGTAAACTCTTCTTTGAGTTCTGCCTCAGTAAGTTCAAGTTGATCATCTGGTTTGATGAGCTGCTTGGGCTGAAATTTTGAGGAAAGATAATAATTATTGACTAGGTATAGATGCAGCAAAAGCTTATTTAATATATTTTACTGCCATTATATATAGTAACTAGTATGTATGACTTGATTTGATTGATTCTTTACATTTTTATGATGAGTGCYTGTTTTCTCTCCCGATGGACTACTTCAACAATACAGTGGCCACCTTGGATCACAAGGCATTATGGGRACCACCGGGGGGCAAATAAAGCTTTGTTACAGTAATGTCGACATTGATTGACAGCTTGGTTAACAGCTCACAAACTCTATAATTTCTGTCATCTTTGTTTTGTTTTGCACCCTAGCAAGATGGCTGCCTTATTATCAAAGTAGTCTGCAATCATAAAACCGAGAGAATTTAAAACTYAAAGAGTAAAAGTAGATAGATAGTAAGATAGTAAATGTACAATGCAGTGTTGCACTGACCTGCATCCAATCATCTATGTCATCTCCCATCTGTGTCATATCATCTTCATCCTACCAAAACATAAAATTAACTGAATATTTAAACGCAATACTAAAAACCAATGGTACTAATGAGCTCTTTATTCGACGTCTACGATTTTAAAGTTTAACCTTTCGTTTAGCTTTGGCTGTAGTTGTTTTACTTGATGACTTGACAGCAACATTGGACGGTGTTGGCCCAGGCTTTTTATCCTAAAACAAAATAAAATCGCACATCTTTCAGCACAGCTAAAGAGAATAACTGTATAACATTAAAACAAACTAAACTGCGTATTTATTATAGCTTTACATTTAGCAGAAAAGATTATTAATCATGTACAAATGTTACTTGAACAATGACTTCAGCTTATCGTTTCAATGTTTATGTTTTCAAACGTACTGAATATCAGCGTCAAAAAGAGCTTTAAACCCCAAAAAATCATAAAACCTACCAACTTTGCTTGCTTTGTGTTACCCTTTTTCATTTTAAACGAATTTTCAGCAAATACAATGAATTTTTAGAGCGTTTTTCACAACAGTTTTRCAGATTTTATCGAAAACCAGACTTTTACCGTCGTCATGGTAACAACATCTTCTTTGCGCARACTCAGTGGTGTTCATTACCCATAAGTCTATGCGCATTTTACCACAGGTATCCCATCATTACCATCATGAGCAACAGACTGTCAACGTAGTTTCGTCGATTCCTGAAATCACATTTTAAATGTTCCCCCTTTTTTTCATTTCCTTGTCATGGTCTCTGTTGTTCAAAATGAAAAACAAAGACAAAAATCCGCCGCTGTGCATAACACCCTCTACCACGGAACAGCAAAAAAATGAATACTCCAAGTGTCCCTCGTCATTTCGAGACGCACACTTCCTGTTCTGATACAACAGCACTTGGAGGGTTTCGACGAGACAAAGAGAGAAATTTAAAAGAGAGAAGTGACATAATGAGATTCCACCCCCACCCCACCCCCTCACAGGATCTACAYAGGATCATGATTATGATAATGATTGGCCATGRACCAATCAGCGTGKATTATTATTTTCCCGCTCTTTTCATCACGTGACTKGTTGGTTGGAAGTTTTTCAAAGTTGGTTTYGTTCTTTGTTCTTCATCAACCAAGAATTTCTACTGGATTATTGCTCTCTTCCCAACAGTTTACTGACTTACACAACCAACCACATTGCAAGTAAATACCTCAACTACTAAACCTATTTACATCTGCTTCGAGGAGTCATGGAAAAGTTATGGAAAAAATCGCTTGTTTTCGGAGAGAATATGTCAAACTGCAAAATTGTCCGCAGTCAAGACCTTCGTTTAGTCAGTATTTTGTCTTCTTTGATCTGATGTGAAAAGACCCAGGAAAAGAAAAACCAAACAGCAAGGAAAGTGTGTTTTGTTTTTTAGTCTTGTTTTGAGTATATAGAATTTGTTCTAAAT